GGGGGAATTTTGGACATTAAAAGATGCAAAGATGTATGCATCATCCTTGAATATAAGTAAAAGCCTCATTCTGAACCTCATTCTGGACAGTAGCCAGCCTCCAAGCCACCTCATCATTACCAAAAATCACCTATTGTATAGGACACCACTGATTTTAAATCAAATCCTGGACCAATCTCACAAAATCACAGGTGCCACCGCAGGTTCCCCACTAGACCAACCTTTATTAACTAGATGCTATTTCTTTCATACCCCGCCAAAATAAATGGAAGTTTCAAGGAGATCCCCTCACCACTCCTAATGCAAACCATAGCTCTCCTACAACAGGCTCACCCCAAACTACAGAATTACCCAGCTCAAAGGAATACCGTTAGAGCACATTGATCAGACAAAAAAAAAACAAGCATGGATATCTTACGAGAGAATGAATGACTTAACAACCATATAAACAGACCAAATAAAACATAACCATGCCATGAAATATCTCCAAAATCAGGAAAAGGTAAAAAAGCAAACAAAAACTCACTTAAGAGCAGCTTTTAGGAACGATGAGCAGCCCTCAACACATGTTTTTGCTGCCCCAAGTGTTTCAGAAAGTTGTTGCATGTCATCTAAATCCCCCAACTGTTGTGGCACAGGTATCCGAGGAAATTCTTTATAAATTTTCCTGACACGGGCTAACAAAATAATTTTGTCATAATCACGACAAAATAGAAGCATCATAATATTTATAAATAATAGAAAATACCAAATACCGAAAATGGCCATGGAAACATGTAAATAATATAAAAATTTCTATTTATCATAACACTGATAGTCCGATACGAATAACAACTACTAGAAGAACCAATTCACCCGAACCAACCAAGAGAAAGTTAAAAAGCATTTAAAAATCACTTCAGAGGGTAAGAACAAACAGACAGAATCTATCGAGAATTCAAATCTACATCATAAGGTAACAACTGACCAAGGATTTCATCGTCATAAGGGAATCTTCCTTTGACAAGCGTATCCACAAACAAAGCAGCTAACTCTGCCCCACAAGTAACCTGAATTTTGTTTTCATATATACAGCATCAGTATTACAGATTTGATTATGAAATGTCATGATATATGCATGTGCATGTGTCACCCTTGGTGCATTTTACTAAAGATTTAATTAATTATAAGAAAATGTAAGATTAACATATCCTAGGCCCTAGCCTATGCCCAAATCATGCAAAGTTGTATCTCAACTAAAAGGTAAAATAAGTATTGATGTCTATAAGTAGAACCATGAAAGTATGACCTGCCCATGTTTCAGTTGGTTGCATGCACCAGACTGAAGGAGATCCAAGGCCTCAGAATACCTCTGAGCAGATACATATCTGCAATAAAGAAAGAATATTTCATCGACGTGCATACTCAATACAATGGCCTTTACGAAATACAAAGAAAGAAAGTTTGTTTCTCAACAGCCAAGCTGACAATTAAGTACCTTGCACTAATAGATTTGTACATTTGCTGAGCTCCATAGTAATTACCTTCCTCTACAACTTTCTCTAATTTCTCAATATTCTGCATTTAGAAAAAAAGAGGCAATTGGAAATCATCCTTCATTATCCACTGGAACTATCTGAACCAAAACAAAATCCACTAAACCAACTGTGACTGACAGAATGAAACCCATGACAGGTGAAAACTCTACCGCCGCTGTGCAATTAACTCTTTCAGGTGACTTGTTATATTCAAACTAACATCGAATTTACCCACATATGTATATGAGATTGATCGTATCATCTTAGTCTCAAATATAGGAAATCTAAAACAGGGATCTTTATGAAAAATAAAAATCAAATCTTTTAGAACAGAAACACAAGATAACAAGCATCTCCTTTTTCCCAGAAGCCAAACGCAGCTCTATAGACTATATAACATGCAGATATGCATAACACTGAACATATTCCGAATCAAACAAAATAAAACAGTGGTGATCATATCAGTCACAGTTTTCTAAAGAGTAGGGAAAAGGGTGAATCAGAATCTCGAATCCGAGAAATTCGGCTAAATTTAAGTACAAGAATAGAAAAACCCATCAAAATTTGTTGAATCAAAAGGTTTTCGAATTTCGAGTAAACGTGAAAAAAAGATTCAATCTTTTTCTGTATTTCCAGAACAAAACTGAGTGTTGAAAACATGATTTCCAGCTTGCGTACCTCTTGAGCCGGAGGTAGTGTGCCTCTTTTGGGTCTCTCCCGCGACATGGTTTCAGTTTCTGTTCAAAGTAAACAAAGATAGTTTGGTGAACTCAAACTGAAAAACACAAAACAAATCCGGGTGGCATATAGCAGTCTCTGCCCGTACCCGTTTGCCCGGCACAGTCGGGTGGGTTGAATAAAACCGGTAATATAATATGGGTTATCTGTTGTTTATTCATTTGGAAAAAGGAAAAAAAAATTCAGAGGTGTATTCAATTAAGATTTTAAAGAAGTTTAAAAGTGTATTCAATCAGGATTCTATAGTAGTGTATTTGGACGAGGAAATTTAAAAGTACAAAGAATTTCATAAATGACGGAATTTAAAATGACGGAAATTAATGTTCTAGAATTTGTAAAGTTTCTTTTTTGGGTGACGAATTTAAAACACGGAATTTAACATTTATTTGTAAAGTCATTTTTTTTTAAACTCAATCTCTCTTGGGATTTTAGAAATGATGACTTTTAGATAGAATTTAAAGTTGGGATTTATGATCTCCGAATTCCATATTTTTTCCCACGCGAAATTTCTAAATTTCTATGTTTTTTTTATCCAAACACAGGAACTGGTTCATGTCAATTTAGAAATTCTGACTTTTGTCAAAATTCCAAGTTTATTTCCCTCGTTCAAACGCACCAAAGTCTATAAAATTCTAGGGGATCCCAAGCATTTAGCATGTGTGCATTTACAAGCATTTAAAAGAATATTAACCATTAGATTAATCTAATGAATTTTAATAAGTCCACATCATCATAATTGTATTAAACCAAAAATAACCATTTGCGCCTTATTATATCTATTCAAATAACTCTAAAATAAAAATAAAATAAAATACCCCAGCAAACAGCAACGACCTAGCCCCACACAGCCATGGCTGCGACTCTCTCTCTCTCTTGATTTGGGATGACTGACTCTCAATAAAGTCTAGGAAGATATTTTATAAAACATGGATCTTTTTAACGAAGTACTGCAATTAAATATGCAAATTCATAAATGAAAATTAGTTGGCCACAAATACTGCATATGAAAATCTTATATGTGACTGCCAACCATGGAACCTAGTAAAAAAAAGGTGTGTGTGTGAGGAAAAGAGAGTGAGGGGCGACTGCCATGGCTGGTAGTGGGGTGGGGGTAGGAGGCTGGGTCGGGGAAGTTGTTTTTTTTTATTCGCGGGGAAGTTAAGGGAAGATGGTTGCTACTTGCTGGGATACGTTTCTGTTTTTTATATTTTTTTTATTTCAGAGCTTTTGGATAAATATAATAAGGTGTAAAAGGTTATTTTTGGTTTAATACAATTATGTTGATGTGGATTTGTTAAAATTCATTAGATTAATCTAAAGGTTAACATTCTCTTAAATGCGTGTAAATGCACTTATGCTAAATACAGAAATTCAGGATCCAATTCTAGGTATATTCAATCCAGACTTTGGTGTACTCAATTATGACCTTAAAATACTCCATAAAAATATGAGTGTATTAAAAAACTCATTGATTTTAAAGAAAATACAAATAATGGTCGATTTTGATAGGGAAGATTGTTAAGTGGTGTTTTAGTTTTCTTGCGTGCGGTGGTACTCTTTTTCCTTGATTGGATTTTCCTCCTTTGGGGATTTTTTAAGTCAAGGTTTTAATGAGGCCACATAGTTGCACTGCAAATTTCCAGTAATTCTAGCTGATTGTAAAATGTTTATCTATTTTGAATTAAGTTCATTTGCTTTCTAATAAAATAAAAGATAGATTTTAGAATCTTTCTTTTTTCATGAAGAATCTTTGCTTCTTTCTAGAGATTTTGATAAATATATTATTTTTATTCTCAAGAACAGAGTTCACCACCTCTACTACTATCATCTTGTCATGGCTATTACCACCACAGCCTCGCCCCTGCCACCACTTGACATGATCATTACCACCACTCTCCCCACCACCTACATTAATGCAATTATGATCCTCACAACCATCGTCTCTACTACCATCACTGACATCATTATTTCGAATTTATAGAATTTTATAAAAATCTAACAAACTTTATTTTGCCTTGCCTGTTGCTTCTATAGCTTGTGTGTTATATTGTCAACAGCTTAAAGGTTCTGCTACTTTTGTTATTTTTTTTTTATAACCTTAAGTAGATCTTTAAGCAATATTCTTGTTGAATTTATACTTCGTTTACTAGCTTTGTTCAATTTTTACCTCCTTCCCTTGTGAATAAGTTTCTAATATATGTTTTTGTCATGGAGAGTTTGCAAGATTTGCTTCTGATCATACATTAACATTCAATTCCTGAGGCAGAATGGAGAAATAGTGGGAAAAAAGCTTGAGATAAAGGTTGAAAATGAGAGCTGAAGCTTTGCAAGTTTGTTGTGGTGTACCGCCACCTTCTCACGGCTGTCAAGAAACACGTTGCCAAAGAAGACAGGGCGGCGAAGCATTTCAAACTTTCAGATACATCTTTCATTCGGCAGAAGATTAAGCTTGCCCATAACTACACCTAATTTTGTTTTCTTCTGATGTAATTCAGATCAAAGTTTTTTTCTTTTTGCAAATTGTAAGGTCCCTGTGATGTGCTATTATGTTGGTTTTCTTGCTTGCTTACTCTATCCAATATTTGAATGATTTCTTTTCAATTGCATCAAGTCTAAATTGTGTCATTTCCAGTTCAATGTCTTGCTTGCTCTATTTACCATGTAACTTTGTTATCAAAGAAACTATAAATCTCTGCATCAGAAAGTTTATTTAATTTTTTTTTTTAATCTCCATCAAGCTTCTAACTTTGTATAATGGCTATGCAGGACCTATTGTTCTCTTACAACATTGCTGTGGATGGATCATATGAGATGAAAAAAGTACTTGGAAAATCGGCTGCAAGCGTGGGTCTTCAACCTCCTGAGGTTTGTCAGCCTTGATATTTAGTTGGGTATAATCTACTACATCCTATTCAGGCAGAGAAAATATGCCGGCATACAATTTCTGTCTTCAACGCCCTTAAATTTGCAGGAATTAGTCAATTCAACAATCTTCGATGGTTATACGGGTATCGAAAATAGGAACGAGATGAAATAAATCAGACTGTCAGAGCCATCAAGTTTCCTCAAGAAGCAAAGGATATAAAGATGAAGAGAAATGTATTAATAAGGACATAAAGAAGATTAGGCACTGTGAATCATATCACACGATGATGGGAGTAATATATCATTTAGACAATTTGAATCCCAAATTCCTGATTAAGAACAATGTATTGTTGATGAAATTATTTAGTAATTTTGATGTTCATGAGGCTAAAAAGAACCTCTGCTACAGATCTAGAACATAACATATAGTAGCTGGCTGGACTCTCTCTCTCTCTCTCTCTCTCTCTCTCTCTCTCTCTATATATATATATATATCTCTAAAAATAAAAGAAGTAGACTTTTGAACCGAGCAATCACGAGCCACCTTAGAAATCTGCCTTTGAATTCATCTTTGTACTGCTGAACGACCAAAACAACTGTGACAATCTGCGTCCCCTTTCTCTCTTCATCTGCAAAATCATCATAATTATATATATAGATATATATACAAATACACAGACAGGAATCTATACCTTCACGGAAAGCTGCTAAATCTCTCTTTCCAAATCCAAAGATTTCATGGCATCCCCCACTTCTTCCATCTTCCTCTTATGTTTTTTTTGCCGCAGCTGAAATGGAAATACAAGTATAAATATATGAATTGAGTACAAGGCAATCTAAAACCTGATATATATAACAAGTTCAAATTTAAGGTAAGGCATCTACCATGAAAATCCGTTGGGCTAAGATCTCGTCTCTGTTCTCATCCCAGTTTGACTCCTGAGTCATTAGTTAAGCAATGTGATAACAGTAAAAGGCAATCTAAAAACAGAAAAACATGATGCATGCATGCATGCATGGATATATGTACATATATAGTTGTATATATGTAAATATATATGTATGTATTTAGTTCCTTTTTTTTACCTCCTCAAGCCCATACGGAAGACGCCCGGGAAGTTGATCACCACAAAATAGTGTAGCATCGGACTCACAAAGAACGCGTGACAATTGTGGGTTTGTCCTTAAGACGATCCCAGCCGAGCACTTGGTACAATTGAAGTGAAATCTGGTGTTTTTAATCCCCAAATACTCCTGTAAATAAGAAAGAAATAGAGAACACCAAAGCTTTCAGAAACTAAAGCGAGCGAGCATGAGCATCCAACATTAACAAAAATAAACAAACCGTAGAACTAGAAGAAAGAGAAAGCAATAACGAGATACAAACTGGGCAATTAAAGCTTCAAAACCCAAACGAGATTATTATAACAACCCAAATACGTACCAAGTTTCCGGAGGATTTTTCTTTGCGGGAATTGATCTCGGTGTCTTTGGCCATGGTATTCCTACACTTGTTGCACCGAATGTTCCTAGGAAGGTTCAAAACAACATTCTCAATCTGCAGGTTCTTAGGCTGGGCTGCCAATGCCATCACCACTATTGGGTCTGTATGGTGAATTCCGATATGAGGAGAGAAGGGAAGAGGTTTAAGAGTCTGGAAGGTAATTTGCGTTGCAGCAAGGTGTCACGTGTTTGAAATTTAGCCAGTTTGATTGATTATTTTATTTTTTGCCAAAGTCAGAAAGGGATAGTAGGAGATTAAGCCTTAAATGAGATCCATCAAAATCTTACAAACAAGGAAAGGATTGTAGGAGATTAAGCATTATCATCAATAACATAATGGTGTATATAAGGAAAAAATAAGAGTAATAAATACATCGTCACAACAACAAGTCACGCAAATATCAGAGCCATCAATTTGGATCCCAATCCAATGTTTTTCTTAATTAAAATTTGATGAACCAATAAGATCCAAATTGGACCATTGAGTGATCATTGCTAAATCTCGAGATCATTCTTGTTATTAAGAAAAGGGTTAATTACAATTTAGTACCCTATACTTACACCCTTAAGGCATGTTAGTCCCTATCTTTTCAATTTTTACAATCGCATACCCTTAGTTTGTAAATTTTTTGCAATGTGATTCCGCCGGCCGTTAGGGTTTCTGTTAGATTTCTCTGTTAATTGCCTACGTGGCATTGTGGGTCCCATATTTTTAATACAATGTTTCAAATCATATTATTAGGGTACGGATTGTTTATGTCAAACCCCTAATATGATTTATAACCTCATGTGATTCAAAAGAACATGATTAAGAACAACTTTCTAAATCAAGCTCAAAATACTTTGGCCAAAGATTTACTGAATCACATCTTGAAACATTCTCCTTCTTTATCGAAAGTAGAGATTCCTTATTGTACATTCACATGCCCCTATGATGAATTAAGAGATCCCAACAACACTTAAGACAAATCTTTTACGGCTTGCCTTTAAGAGCTATCAAAGATCAATAACGCATCACAAGACAACCATGATGCCTCAGGTCTAAGGACTAATTTGCATTATTGCAACTATGAGTTCTCATTTGACATGTAGACAAATACTCCATATGAGAACTACAGTTGATCGCGTTCAGTGTACTCATTCACTAATGAGCACCCACATACTTGTATTAGTGTCAACTACACAAATGGTTTGAGACTAACCATCCTCCCAATTGAGCATACATAATATGCGCTAATCTTGACGGTTTATCAATGCCCATTTGATAACCTATGATTAGGAACATTTTGGGATGCTACAGTTAGAGATTAAAGGTCTCCCGAATCTAATCTTCTTTAGATTACTTTGTCTCTTATTTAGCATACCCTGGACATTTGTTTCTTTACACGATGTAAAAGATAACAAATTAAGTTTGCCCTTTATATATCATATACGAAATGTATTCTAAGGAGATCACATCAAATGTATTGGCTCTTAGGGCACATTTCTAACAGGGTGGAGGCTGGTCGGGATAGGAATGGAGAAGAAAGGGGGGAGGAGTCTGGGTTTCTGGGTTCGTGGGATATGGCTGCAGGTTGGGGTGTGGGAGCTTGATCGAGAGAGAGAGAGAGAGAGAGAGAAAGAGAGATATTTTGTTTTAATTTTTTTTGGTTTTATGGTTTTTAATATTTTATTCATATTTTAATCAATTTAAATTTTAAATTTTAAAAAAAAGTGGGACTCATAGTGCCACGTAAGGCAACTAACGGTGGAATCTGACGGAAACCTAACGGTGGAATCAGATTGTAAAAAATTTACAAACTTGGGGTATGCGATTGTTAAAATTGAAAAGACGGGGACTAACATGCCTTAAGAGTGTAAGTACAGAGTACTAAATTGTAATTAACCCTTAAGAAAATGCTAGGGAAAATCATTTTAGTGGATTAGGGTTTATTCCATAACAAATAAAAAGTCTCAGGTTCTAGCCTAGTGGAAAAAGGTCTTGATTTGCATACCAGGGTCTCAAGTTCAAACGTCCATGGCATCCTAGTTGTGTATGTGACTCTCTCTTGTACTAAAAAATAGTTTATTTCAACTTTAGTATTTGGTTATGTGATAATTATTGAGGAGGTGAATTCGAACTTGGGTGCAAAAGAGCATGCACACCGCCCTCAGGCATGTACCAGTCAGTGTCACTAAGGAAATTACTTGACAACACAACATTATTCCATTATATCATACGTTTCAATCATTAATAAGAAATAAAGCATACGCAAAGAAAAACAGAATCCATGGAATCAAATGAAATTGGTGAATTTGAACATGTCTTTGAAACAGCTTTAAGCAACCAAATCAGAAAGAGCACATGTAATACATGTCAGTGTTTGACCTATATAAGTTGGAGAAGGGAATGAAAACAATTTAAAACCTTCTTAGGGGATGTTCGTATCATTTCTGAAATCTTAGGGGATGTTAGTGTAAATGACTAGATGATGTGGGTGTGTATGTGTGTGACTGATTGTGTCTGCATACGATTCGTGTGTGTCCTTCAGAAGAAACTCCCCTGAGTGTTGAAGACACGATTTCCAGCTTGCATACCTCTTGCGCAGGAGGTAGTGTGCGTCTTCTGGGTCTCTCCCGCGACATGGTTTCAGTTTGTCTGTTCAAAGTAAACAAAGATGGTGAAATCAAACTGAAAAAAACACAAAACAAATCCGGGTGGCATATAGCAAGTCTCTGCCCGTTAGGGGTGAGCATCGGGCCGAGCTTGCATACCTCTTGCGCAGGAGGTAGTGTGCGTCTTCTGGGTCTCTCCCGCGACATGGTTTCAGTTTGTCTGTTCAAAGTAAACAAAGATGGTGAAATCAAACTGAAAAAAACACAAAACAAATCCGGGTGGCATATAGCAAGTCTCTGCCCGTACTTGTTTACCCGGCCCATTAGCATGGGTTGAATAAAACGGGTAATATTTATTTGGGTTTAATTGTTTATTCAGGACCCGCTTATAGCAGCCCAAAAAGTAAGTACCTTTTGACCCTGCAACAACCAGAGACCTCTCCAGTCTTTCAAATCATTACTGGTTTCCTCCACAGGTTCGTGGGTTTTTGGGTTTTTCATTCTGAGTTTTTGTTTCACAATTTTCCCAATTGGAATGTGGTCTTTTTGTAATTTTTCTGCATTTACGCTTTTGGCTGGAAGAGGTTAGTGTGATATTGGTATATTGCAGACCATCTGTATGTGATAATTCCTGAAAGAACTTGCTTTAGAATGGTGAAAGCTTATGGTAGATAGCAGTAGCAGCTTGGTTTGCACCCTTTCTTAATTTGGTTTAGCCATTAGCCTAGAATACGTGGAGCCCTTTTCATGGACACAGGTAGAAGTTGGTATTTGGTGGCACTTTCTTTGTATTGCTGCTCTGTTATCAATTGGTGGCGGCAGCAGCATTTCGGTTTTTTTGTTCTGAAATTGTGCAGCCATTCGGTTAGTACTACTGGCTGTACCTCTCGTCTCTTTTGTCTTTATCCACCGTTCTTGCTATATAGACAATACAAGGCACTTTGATGGAAATGACTGAAAATTACAAGCAGTTTCTGTTATATGGAAGGCAGCCTGAAACTTGCCATAGTTTCTATCAGCTTAAGTGAAGTTGTAGTGCCATTTATATTTCTTTTCATGGTTCATTTGCCTTGAACTGTTAAATTCTAGCCAAGTTTCATGCTCATTTCCTTTTCACTCAAAACCCCTCTTTCCTAATCAAATCCAATATAACTTGCCTCTAGTTGTATTTGGCCTACTTGTTGCTTGTGTTATATTGACAACAGCTCAATGTTTCTTCTAGTTTTGTATTTTATTCTTTTTTGTACCTTATGTAGATCTATAAGAAATATTCTTGTTGAATTTATACTTTTTTATTAGCTTTGTTCAATTTGTACTGTCTTTCCCTTATGAATAAGTTTCTCAAATATATGGATTTGTCATAGAGTTTGCAAGATTTGCTTCTGATCATGCATCAAACATTCAATTCCTGAGGCAGGGTGGAGAAATAGAAAAAATTTAGAATAAGCTCTGAGATAAAGGTTGAAAATGAGTGCTGAAGCTTTGCAAGTTGCTAAGGTGTACCGCCAGCTTCTCAGAGCTGTGAAGAAACACGTTGCCAAAGAAGACAGGGCGAGGCATTTCAAAGAATACGTAACTGAAGAATTCAGGAACAACAGCAAACTGTCAGATCCATCTTCCATTCAGCAGAAGATTAAGCTTGCCCATAACTACACTTTTCTTCTTAACAGTGTGCACCATCACCAGGTACTGATGTAATTCATTGCTCTGACTGATCTAAGTTTTTTTCTTTTTGCAAATTGTAAGGTTCCTGCCATGTTCCATTATGTTGGTTTTCTTTTTAATCTCCATAAAGCATCTAACTTTCTATGTAATGGCTGTGCAGGACCTATTGTTCTCTTACAACATTGCTGTGGATAGATCAGATGAGATGAAAAAAGTACTTGGAAAATCGGCTGCAAGTGTTGGTCTTCAACTTCCTGAGGTGTATCAGCCTTGATATTTAGTTGGCTATAATCTGCTACATCCTATTCTGGCAGAGAAAATTTGCCTCCACCGAACAATGTAGCCTGTGGAATTTTGGATTTTTAGTCATAAATATTCAGTGCTATTTGTTTGCTGCCAACAATGGCAAAGAATAATTTGTTTGACTGGTTATCTATTTTGACCAACAACAAAAAAGTTCTACTACAGCGGCTGAATTGATCAATTGTTCTTTTTTCCTGAGTGAAAAAATGAAAAATATAAAACATATTGATATGCACGGAACTACCAAACAGCAAGGCCTAAATCTGACACGTGTCAATCCGCACCCCACGTGGCACTACCAAAATTTGCAGTGTGACACCTATGTAACTGATAAGGGTTCTTCCTTCTCTTATATATCCTCTACTTCTTCTCTTTCACTGAAAGTAAATCTAATTATCGAGGTCCACATTATCCAAATTTAGCACAACTGGTCTCATCATCTTCATCATCTTTCATCATCATGGGTTCAGAAACGTTTCTAGAAGTGATATTGGCAATTATCCTGCCACCTGTTGGGGTCTTCCTCCGCTATGGCTGTGGAGTAAATTCTTTTACCCTAATGCCCAAATGCCATTCTATTTCTGTTCTTTTTTGAGTTTTGAGTTTGATTTAATTGTTAAATCATATTGTGGAAAATGCAGGTGGAGTTCTGGATTTGTTTGTTGTTGACACTGTTGGGATATATTCCGGGAATTATATATGCGTTATATGTACTGGTCGGATGATCAAGGTTTTCTGGAGGTGAAAGAATAATAATATGGCAAACGACATGTGTGGGGTTAGTTTGGTTAATGTCACTTTGACTTTGTAATTCAGGATCATAATTTAGTTTCCTTATAAATTTTCCTTGTGTTCTCTGCTCTTGTTCTTTCTTTTTTTCGTTTTCTGATGAAGCAATTGCACACTGTAATTACATTCACTTATGCTAATTGACACTAACGTAGAAAGTGGAAACTCTGACAAAATCAAGTATAATGTTCTAGTCTCGAAAACAGAAAACAGAAAACAAAAATGTTTTTGTGTGAAAACACAAAACATATGAACACAAGTCATGGATTTATAGCTTGAAATAATAATGATCAATTTGCATGATGAGTTTCAATAATTTCAACTTTCAATGCGGTATGTTTTGTATTAGGAAAGGAAAATGTTCATAATTGATTTGAACATTTTGACTTATGTGGGATGTCTTTTACATATATATATATATAAATGTAAGGTATTGGAGCAAACTAAACAAGCTTCTTCAAAGTAGTTCATTTGTCAGCTGTGTATGCATAACATAAAGGGAATACCTTTTATTCATGACTGCATATTTACTAATTCCTCCATGTCTTAGTTATTATCGAGAACAAATAAGAATGCAAAATTATTGTTCGGATTGAGTTGTTGTATAGTTGATTTTGGAAGAATTTTAACTGTATTGAATAATTGTAAGCTGAACGTCTAAAACAAATTGTCAGCTATCATAGTGATTGCAAATTAGTAACGATTTATACAATAAATATTGTATATTGCAACCACGGCTATAATTCTCGTTGCGATGGAGAAATTGAAGATTGACAATGAAATTTTGATAATCTTACAAGTCTTTTTAATTTCATTGTGATCCATATTTGGATAGTAGAAATTGTTTTTCATCAAAATCTCTCATGTATGGCATGAACAATTTTCAATAAACATTACAAATCGTACCAATTGAATTTTAATATTCTTACATTTCCAAAATATGTCTTCCTTGAACACATCCAATTGAATTCAGGACCTTAATTTAGTTTCCTTATAAATTATCATTGTACGTGCCAATGTGATCATTTCTGGTTTTTTGTTAATTTTCTCTCTCTCTCTCTCTCTTTGAAGCAATTGCCATGTCATGTCATCCACCTGAGCTAAGTTAACATATTGTCATAGAAAGTGGAAACTCCTAAAATCAATGTAAAATGTTATAGTCTCGAAATACAAAACAAAAAAAATGTTCTAGTGTGAAAACACAAAACATATGAACACAATGTGAAAGATCATACAAGTCATGGCTTTATACCTTGAAATAATGATGATCAGTTTGCATATGTGAGATGTTTATATTATCTAAAAACATTTTTATTTATATGTAAGATATTGGAGCGAACTAAATATGTATATCAAGCTTCTTTTGAAGATGAAAGACATAAAAATGAACCTTTTTTATATATGGCTGCATTTCCTATTTCCTAATCTCTTAGTTGTTATTAAGAACAAATGAAATTCCTATTTCCTAATCTCTTAGTTGTTATTAAGAACAAATGAAAAGGAAGAATTGGAAAGACAAATACGAACATTTTTGAGTTATGGTTGTTGTAGTTTAGGCTCTTCCACAAAGCTTCTAGATTTCTCCACACATTTCTTTAGCACAAATGTGCATTAATTTCAACAGTTGTATCTCCCCCTTATGAAGTTATTATGAACACATGAAAATGGAAGAACGTAACATTTTTTGGTTATGGTTGCATCTCCTAGTTGTTACAAGCTTGAATACCAATTTTAAATGGGCCAATATGCGTGGGCAAAATGAGAGTGAGAGTTAGTCATTCTCATTACAGGCAACATGAGAGTTAAACGAGTCAAAATTAAATGTAGATCCAAATTTGTATAATAGAAACTGTTTTTCAACAAAATATCTCGATAAGTGGAAGAGACCCAAATCCTTTTGCCTATTCAAGGAAACTTTCCCTTCATTGTAATCGAGACACCAGCTATTGACTTTCACTTTCGTTGATCCCCTTTTTGGGCACCAAATATGAAGGACAATGTATAAGTGAAAAACTCTTGAGATGTCAAAATACAATGTTCAAGTCTCAAAAACAAAAACAAAATGTGAACACAATATGAAATAATATTACAAATCATAACTTGTCGATAAAATGCAATACCAATTGAATTGTAATGATCCTACATTTCCAATATTCTATCTTCCTTGAATACATCCAATTGAATTGTGAATTGTATTTGCTAGTTGGATACTCGATGATAATTAGGGTTTCTAGTCTTGAAGAAATAATGGGAACAAACATGTGTGGATGTTTACTTTGTGATCTTAATTTAATTTCCTTCCATTTTCCTTGCTCGTGTGACATGTCACTGTGATTATTTCAGTTTTTTTTAATATGAAATTTTTTGTCAAATTAAATGGTAAGTGAACAATCCACAGAGCAAGCCCTTAGGCTATTTGATTCTTGAGAAGTATTTTCGTCTAGCTCTTGTCCATTCCATACCACAGTGGTTGAAACTCGAAGGTTGTTTTCACAAAAATTAAAAAAAAGAAGCTTAATTAGTAATAAATTGATCATGTTAACAAAAATATACAAGTGGAAACCCTTAAAAAGTCCAAGTACCATGTTTATGTTCTAGTCTCGGAAACACAAAAAATATGAACATAAGTCATAATTTCTTTCCCCTGAAATAAGGGATCGATTTGCATGGTATGGTATGGTACAATAAATAAAAGATTTGTTGTAATAGGTTTGTCGGAGTGAAATAGAACCTGTGCTTGTTTATGTAAGGGAAAAATAAATTCTTTATAAAAAAAAAAAGCATATTTGGAAATAATAAGACTTTAAACATATGTTTATTTACTTCAATTTGTCAATTTATGTAAGATATTGGAGTGAATTAAAAACAAATAGTGAAGGAGGGGTGATTTGTTGGACTGCGAAAGATTATTAAAGCTTGTGGTAAGGTCTATGATTAGTTGGCTTGTGGTAAGGTCTATGATTAGTTGACGAAAGACAAAGAATTCAATTAAAAACAAGCAATGGGATAGTGTATATGGAATATGTAATTGCAACTAGTGTAGGTTTTCAAATGATGGAAAGACAAAGAATTCAATTAAAAACAAGCAATGAAATAGTGTATATGGAATTGCAACTAGTGTAGGTTTTCAAGTGATGGCATAATCGGACTTGTAACAACTTTGTTGTTGTGTGGGTTTCAAGTGTTGACATAGCCTGGGATTGACTCAATTTCCTTTGTTTTTGTTGTACGAAATTATTTACCAATTACAATTACACTGGTGGTGTTCTGTCATCATACAAAATTATTTATCATTATAATGAGAGCAATATTTAGTTTGGTAAATGTCACTTTAACTTTGTGATCCAGGATCTTAATTTAATTTCCTTCGAATTTCCTTGTACATGTGTGACATGTCACTGTGATTATTTCGGAGTTTTTTTTTTAATTAAAAAAAATATGAAAAGTTCTGTCAAATTATATGCTAAGTGAACAATTCCTTAAGGTGGTGGCCTAAGCCTAAACGTATAGTATAACTGTTTCTGTTTGCAACCTTCTCTTAAATGTTAAAATAAAGTAAAAAACTGTACAATAATTAATAAGCTTAAGCTTAATTAGTAATATGTTGATAATATTTAACGATGGAGAGTGAAAGTACAAAGTTTATGTTATAGTTCATCCAAAAAAGAAGTTTAAGTTTATCTCATCAGAAACACAAAAGTTATGCACACACGATCAAACGTAAGTCATATATACTTTATTTCCCTGACAAAATAAGTGATCAGTTCGTATGATATGGTACAATAAATAAAGATTTCTTGTTGTAATACTAATAGGTGTGTTGGAGTGAAATAGAATAGAACTTGTGCTTGTTCTAAAAAAGCAAATTAGGTAATAATACGACTTTAAAATATGTTTATCAAGTTAAATATCTTAGGTAAGATATTGGCGTGATCAACTAAATGTATTTGGCAAATAACGAAGGATACATGAGTAATTGGCAATTTGGCATAACCAGGATTGTAACCACTTTGTCTTGTGGATTTGTCGGATAGGTTCATGTTGGCATCATCGGAATTGTAACAACTAAAGGCATTTTAGTCTGGTTTTTTTTAAAAAAAATTAGCAAAAGAAACCCACGTATATTACAGGTGATGAAAACGAGCACGAAAGGATTTCTTGACTTAATTTAAGATTTATTTAGAACTCTTCACCAAGGTTTCTTTCAAGACCAGTATCAGTCAAATGGGATTGGTCGCTAAATCTAACATGCTGGTAGAGAGAGAGAGTATTAATAATCTCACATCTTTTCTAGGACAATGCCTTTGGCATGAGATGAGCCAGCAAATGGCTTTTTCCATTCATTCCCAAGGTGAGACTTCTTGTATGACTTGTTGCAAATGAAGGTTACAAACCTAATAACCTTTTTTCTTTATGTTTTGAATAAATATTGTAATCTATTGTAAACACTTGTATATTGCATTATGTTCAATGGAATATCATTCTGATTGTGTTCGAAAGTTGGGATTCCAGCAACGATTTAAAACAAGGTTTCAATAACAACAAAATGAGAACTAATCGAGTCAAAATTATCATTTACAAGTTCACAAATGCTTAATGACATAAAATGTTAACGAGACATTGAAGATTGACAATGAAATTTTGATAATCCTACAACTCCCAAATTTTCGATGTTCATTGTAGATCCAAATTTGGGGATCTCAAGCCTCTATATTTATAATCTACGCATTTATTCACATTTTGCTTAATACGTAGATTCTAAATGCATAGGCTCAGGATCCCAAATTTGGATAGTAGAAACCGTTTTTCATCAAAATCTTTTGGCCACGTCAAGTCAAGAATTATGTAGTGAGAGTCTTATATATGACTGTTGCATTCCTAAAAGGACACAAATTAATGTGCAAACAACCAATTAAAAATACCCGCAAGTGCACGAATCTATCGAAGTATAGATTATGTAAGTACGGGGTCGATCCCAC